TATGTCAAGAAAGAAAAATAATATATATAGGAAAACAGTAAGAACTATCAAAGTTCTTTTGCATATCATCCAATCTATAATCTCTGCGGGAGGTGAACAGTGTCATCCCCATTTTAAAGGAGGAAACAATTTGTCCAAGAGCACAGAATCCTTTCTAATGGTTTCTCTCCTCATCTGCAGCTTAGAAAGAACATATGGTAGGGTCATCCCAGAAAGACCTTGGCATCCTATTCAGATTCAGAAGACTGGTGTCAAGAACAAGAGGGCCATCCTACATGTATAGTAAATTGCACGTAATTCAATTATTTATAGAGAATAGCCAAAATTAAAAACTTAGTCATTTCCCTTCTTTTTCTAAGAACTGAGGTATATGGAAAATAACCTTCCCAAAAAACCTTTAAAAAGGTTATCCATAAGAGAGTTCAAGGGGTCTTTCAGACACATATGACTGTTTAAAAAAAAAAAAAAAAAAAAAAAAAAAAAGTCTGATTTTGTGCTTTCTGTGGTGCAATAAAAGTAAAAGCAAAGAGTATTTTTAGCTCTTTCAAGCTTAAAAGGATTTAACCAAAGGATCTTCCTCTAAGTCTGGTTTTTCATTCATTGATTAAAACTGACCAAAATTATAAAAGAACGAAAATCATTTCCTGACCAGAGAGCCTACAACTTAAACAAAGAGCACATTCCACACAGCCTGTCATTAGCAGTGGTCTGATCATGATTTCCATCGCTCAGCTCTCTTGACTTTCATTCTGAGTCCAACAAACTAAGCAGAAATATGGGAGGTACCCTGACCATGAAAGAGACAAAATGGTACCATACAAAACTCTCAAGGAACATTCTGTAGACAAAATATGGCACAGAACATATCTTATATTACATTCAGTGTCTGCATAGTGCTCAACTACCAAGAGTTGACTCAATGAAGCTCCCAAAGAGATGCCTAATGCAGTCAAATGCCAATTTAGGATAATATGGAAATAGGTAGAGTTACTTCCTTTTGGGTTTACTTTTTAAATATAAATCTGGTAACAGAGGAACAAATTATTTGCATACAGGAGCAGTTTAATGTCCTTCCAAATTTATGTTAGAACTATGCATATTTGGATGAGGAAAGCCTGATGCCAAAATATATAAACCCTCAGAAAAGTAACTAATTTTTATAAAAATCAACCTCTTAATATAATGTTTATGACAACTGTTGTATATTTTCCTTTAAGGGCAATCTTAAAAAACTATCATAAATCAAACCTGCATGTAAGTAAGAATGAGGTCAATATTAACACAGAATGATGTCAATAGAAGCAACTACTTTTCCTACTTTCTAAATAAGTTAAGAATGTTTGCCTGTACTTGACCAGGCTATTCCAATGCAGAATAATAAAAACAGTTCTGACTGGTGTGAGGGTCAGTGGTTGAGCACTGACCTGCGAACCAGGAGGTTGAGGTTCAATTCCCAGTCAGGGCACATGCCCTGGTATAACCCGGATTCCCAGTGCAGAAGGCAGTCAATCAATGATACTCTCTCATTATTAATGTTTCTATCTCTCTCTCCTTTTCCCTTCCTCTCTGATAACAATAAAAATATATATTTTTTTAAAAAACAGTTCTTATTTTTCATTTCAAAAACCTCTGGAATTTTATTTTCCTTCAAAGGTAAAGAAAGTATTCCTCCTTTATTGATGGGGGAAATAAAGCAAAAAATTTAAATTAGGCAAGAATTTTGAGATACTCTGTATCTAGGTTTTAGAAAAAAAAAAAACAAACCTGAATGGAACCATGTTCTAGTTTAAAGTGAAGCTATGTGTTTACCATTCAGTTCTTTTGAGCAATGGTCATGCAGATTATTAGCAACTAGAGGCCCAGTGCATGAAATTCATGCACGGGGTGGGGGATTCCCCTCAGCCCGGCCTCTGCCCTCTTATACTCCGGGAACCCTCAGGGGATGTACACCTGCTGGAAGGATCGGACTTAAATCGGCAGTCTGGAGCTCTCGCAGTCCCAGACCCCTCGCTCCTTACTGTCCACCTGCGGGAAAACCACTTAGAAGCCAGGCTCACTGCTCCTTAGCGCTGCTGCGGAGGCAGGAAAGAGGCTCCCACCACTGCCCCTGTGCTCGCCAGCTTTGAGCCCGGCTTCTGGCTGAGCAGCGCTTCCCCCTGTGGAAATGCACTGACCACCAGGGGCAGCTCCTGTGCTGAGTGTCTGTCCCCTGGTGGTCAGTGCGCATCATAGTGACCGGTCATTCCGCCAATCATTCCACCATTTGCTCGATTTGCATATAGAGTTTTATTATATAGGATATTAAACTGATCTAGAAATGCATAAACTCTTAAGCTTTTTAATCAAAGCTTACTTTGAGTACATGTTGGTCACAAAGATCACTGATAAAATAGGTGCTTCTTGTAGCTAACCCAGTTTGTATCTATCATCTGGTTTTATAAGAAGTTGATCTCATGGAAATAAGTAAATATCTCCCAGCTGAAATTTTTGAAAAATATTGTTGAACTATGCACTTAACATCACGCACATTTAAATGTAAAGAATAACTATGATCCAAACAATATTTAGTGCCACCTATAGGTTTCATAGCCTATGACATAATTGTCCTTTCAAAGATTTAAAAAGCTAAGCACTGCCCCAAAAGAGTTAAGAGCTAAGAAAATCCTGTAATACCTATAAAATCTAGATAAATGGCAAGGACTCAATTATTAGCAGACTTAATTTTCTAACTATTTATAGAAAATTTAATTTCTAATATACACCATGCTGTTATCCAGTCCACTTTGAAAGATGTCTGGAGGATCAAACACAATTACTTCTGAACTTCCATAGAAAAAGAACAAAGATTAAAAAATAAGAAGCCACAGCATGATAAAACTCCCTGAGACTACACAAATCCTGAACCTGTAGCAATCCAGATGTTTGGAATTAACATCTGTCTTTACAGCATGTCACCTAAATATAAGCACAATAATACTAGTATTTATACAGACGTTCTAAGGAGACAGTATTCTTACCCAATAAAGCACTGACAGAATTGTAAAGTGTTGCACAAAATGTAAGGAAATGAAGTAACCAACCCAACACCAAAATAATTTTCCCCCATGGTGGTGATCACTTGTTCTCTCTGGCTCGCCCAGAATCTCCCGGAACCAATCCTGCCAAGAAAGCTGGAATAAAGATGAAGGTTTAGGGCTTTGGAACAAAGCCAAACTGTGGCCTGCTGGAGAACATCCATAACTTTAGTCTTAACTGTGCCAAGAAAGCGCAAACAGCACTTTGAAGTAATAATCTTGAGATTCTTTGAGAATGTTCTGAACTTAGACTTCTCCCTAAATCACACTGACTTCTTCCAACAATGAAGGTACATGGGCAAACCTGTACTTCATTGGATCTATTCAGATGAGGGCTCAGGAAGCAATGACAATCAAAGCTCCATATATTATTTTAAAAGCCATTTGTATAACCAACATCTTCTTAGAAACAATATTTAATCAGTTAACAATACAACTGTAAATAATAATCTCACATATAAAGTTTGTTAGGAGTAAGTTATATGTCACTACACACACACACACACACACACACACACACACACACACAGCCTCCTTTATAGGTAATCTAAACATAAAACAGTGTTTTGGCTTAGATGAGATGCACTATCATTGGCAATGTTTTCTTTCCTTTCTTTTTTTTTTTTTTTTTTAGCTAATATGTTTAATAAATTAGCCCAGCCCGTGTCGCTCAGTGGTTGGACATACTTATGAACCAGGAGGTCACAGTTTGATTCCCAGTGCATGAATATGCCCATGATTGGGGGCTCAATTCCCTAGTGTGGGGCATGCAGGAGACAGCCAATCAATGATTCTCTTTTATCATTGTTGTTTCTCTCTCCCTCTCCCTTTCTGAAAACAATAAAAAAATATATATTATTAATAAGTAATTTCCCAAAAGATCAATTTCTATTTTCAAAAACATCTCAGTCACTAGAGATGAGAAACATTTCATCTAAAAATGCACTATAGCCCTAGCCAGTTTTGCTCAGTGGATAGAGCACTTGGCCCATAGACTAAAGCAGCGGTTGCCAACCTGTGGTCCAAGGTTGGCAACCACTGGACTAAAGGGCCCCAGGTTCAACTCCGGCCACAGGCATGTACCTCAGTTTCAGGCTCAGTCCCTGGCTCTGGTTGGGGGCAGGCAAAGTGCAACCAATCGATGTGTCTCTCTTACATCAATGTTTCTCTCTGTGTGTCTCTCCCCCATCCTTCCCCGCTCTCTAAATGTCAATGGGAAAAAATCCCCAGGTGAGGCTTAACCAAAAATAATCCTATATAATAAAAGCATAATATGCAAATCAACCAAACAGCAGACCAACCAGTCGGCAGGGGGTGGGGCCCGCAAGCAGACAGCACCAGGCTAGCCAAAGCGCTTGCCAGCAGGCAGAGGGAGAAAACAGCGAATGGGGGGCCCACCCGGTTGCCTCCTGGAGATGGAGACACCAGCATGGCAGCGGTGGAATGATGGAGGCGGGGCCAGGCCAATCCTCCAGTGAAAGGCCGGGCAGAGGCTGTAGGGGGGTGATGAGGATGATGCCATCCCCTGATCCTGTTCGGCCTGCCAGATCACCTCCCGCAAAGGGAGGCCAGACTGCGGCTTAGACCCGCTCCCCGTGGTGCAGGCCAGGTTGAGGAACCCCTGCCCACCCTCTCAGTGCACGAATTTTTGTGCACCAGGTCTCTCGTAATCTATAATAATAAATTAGCATATGCTAATTAGATCAGACAAAACCAGAGCTGTAAGGGCCCAGGCAGCTGCCATGACTGTGAGGGCCAAGCCCCTTGCACAAATTTCATGCATCAGGCCTCTAGTAACAATAATAACAATAATGATGATGATGATGATGATGCACTACACCTCCCAATCATCCCTAATTAACATTCCAAATATTAGACTATACCACAGCAAAAGAATGTGGGCCTTGGGACCCAATGATTACTTACTTGTTGATAAAAGGTTCAATGAGTTTTGAACTGGCAGGCACATGATTTTTTGGAGGACTAAGAAAAGAACCTAAGAAAAGAAAAAGAGTATTATGTATAGTCAAGTAGACAAAGCCTGAAAATTCAGGGGAAAATATATTTAAATCAATAGTATGGGTCAGCAAGGGTAAAAAGTACTCGTATGAGCCAAGTACCATTCCACAGGTACAAGTCAATGGTTCCTCCTTGTATACTCTCCACCTGCTCCAACCCAATCTCCTCAGACTCCGTCCCCTCCCATTTCTAACTGGGTGAGTGGTTCCCAGGGAACTAGTAGACAGGTAAGATCCACTCTAGACCACTGTGTTTGACAGAAACATGTACAATAAATACCTAGGTAATTTGTCATGGAGATGAAACACAGTCCTGTGATATAAGCATCATAGCCTGCCTCATGGAGCTGTTCAGAAGCTGTGTCATAACTTGGAAAACCTTCTGCACTTTCTAAAGAAAAAAAAAAAAAAAAGAAAAAAGTTTTTCCAAGGACATCACAAATCAAAGACTGGAAAGTGTATTGCCCTACCAAATCCAAATTGTATTCAGAATGTGCTATAGAAATATCCTAAATAAGCATTTAAAAACTTTTTTTAACTTTATTTTTCAATCACAGTTTACATTCATGTTATTTTATATCAGTCTCAGGTATACAACACAGTGGTTAGACAACCATATACTTTACCAAGTATTTCTCCTGATATGTCAGTGCCCACCTGGCACTATACATAGTTATTAACAATACTATTGACTATTTCTTATGCTATGCTTTACATTCCTACGACTGATTTCTAACTACCAACCTGTACTCCTTATTCCCTTCACCTTTTTTACCAGTCACCCAACGCCCCACCCCTCTGGCAGACATCTGTATGTTCTCTGTATCTATGAGTCTGTTTCTGTTTTGTTGTTCATTTATAGTTATTCTTTAGATTCCTCATATAAGTGAAATCATATAGTATTCGTCTTTCTCTGACTGACTTATCTCGTTCAGCATAATACTCCCTAGGTTCATCCGTGCTATCACAAATGGTAAAATTTCATTCTTTTTATGACTGAGTAATATCCCATTAAATACATGTACCATAGATTTTTGTCCATTCATATACTGGTGGGTACTTGGGTCACTTCCATATCTTGGTTATTGCAAATAACTCTTGCAATGAACACAGAGGTGCATATATTCTTTCTGGTTGGTGTTTAAGGATTCTCAGGATATATATATATATACCCAGAAGTGGAATTGCTGGGTCATAAGACAGTTCCATTTTTAATTTTTTGAGGACTCTCCACATTGTTTTCCATAGCAACTGCACCAATCTGCATTCCTATCAACAGTGCACGAGGGTTTCCTTTCCCCCACATCCTTTCCAACACTGTCTGCTGACTTATTGATGATAGCCATTCTGACAACTGTAAAAGGATATCTCATTGTGGTTTTAATTTTATTTCTCTGACGATTAGAGACCTTGAGCATATTTTCATATATCTATTGACTACTTGTATGTCCTCTTTGGAGAAGTGTCTATTCAGGTCATTTGTCCATTTTTTTAATGGGATTGTTTATTTTTTGGTGTTAAGTTATATGAATTCTTTATAAACGTTAGATATCAGCTGTGTCATCGGTGAATATGTTCTCCCATTCCATGGGTTATCTTTTTGTTTTATTGATGGTTTATTTGGCTGCGTAAACACTTTTTAGTTTAAAGTAGTCCTATTTGTTTATTTTTTTTATTTTGTTTCCCTTGTCTGAGGAAACATATAAAAAAAACAAAAAAGTATTGCTAAGATAAATGTCAGAGGTTTTACTACCTACGTTTTCTTCCTGGAGTTCTAAGTTTCAAGTCTTACACTCAAATTTTTTAAGGTATTTTGAGTTTATTCTTGTATATGGTATAAGAAGGTGGTCTAATTTCATTTTTTTGCATATACCTGTCCAATTTTCCCAACATCAATTATTAAATAGACTGTCTTTACCCCACTATATGTTCTTGCCTCCTTTGTCAAATACTAATTAACCTTATAGGCATGGGTTTATTTCTGGGCTCTCTATTCTGTTCCATTGATCTGTATATGACTGTTTTTATGCCAGTACCATCCTGTTTTGATTACTATAGCCTTGTAACAGTTTTATATCCAGCCTTGGATAATTTGAAATCCAGCAGCACGATACCACCAACTTTGTTCTTCTTTCTCAAGATTTCTGTGGCTAATAAAGATATTTTGTGGTTCCACATTAACTTTTGGATTATTTGTTCTAGTTCTATAAAATACACTATTGATATTTTGATAGGAATTGCAGTGAATCTACAACTTCTGAATTTCTCTACACATAAGCCCTTACAATATGAGATAACAGAGTCACTGAAAATGAGGGCTTTTGTCTAGATAAGAGCAGTGCCTCAGTTATGTTATCAAAGAGAGCCATAGGCCTCCCCATTGCACAGATGTCAGTGCTATTTACAAACATGCCTCGCTTTATGACAATGATTCCTCTTCTATTTCTCTAAGGAGTGTCTACTCTTAGAGACAATGGTAGCACTGGGACACAACAGGAATTTCAGAATAATGATTAAACATGGACTCTGGAGGGGAAAAAAGGAAAAAAAACAACAACAACAAAAACATGGACTCTGGAACCCCACTGTGTTTAAGTTTGAATCTCTGCTCACAACTTATTTGCTATGTGATCTTGGGCTTCATCTCTGTTCCTCCATTTTGGTAGAATGAAGATGATAATCAAAGTCCCCCTTTTTGGTGAGGATATAAAGAGCTAACTAAGTAAAGATCTTATATAGTGCTTGGTACAAAGTAAATACTCACTAATTATTATCTGTCAACACTGCAGATAGTCCACCCAAAAGCAAGACTCCAATCAATATTGATAGTTCAATTCAATATTGTCCTTTACTATGTTGCCAAGCTTACAGATCTAACGATGAAAGCACAACAAACTCAAAAAAAATGGTTCAGAACTTTCTGTAACGCATCCCTTGAAACATGGGGCCACCTCATAGTATAGACCATTTTATAATGTAATTCTTTTGTCACACGGATATATGTAGATGCTGAGAGGATATTGTCTGAGAAGAGTGACCTACCTGTTTCAGAGTAAATTCTCTACCAGACACCAGAATAGTATATGGAAATAATATGATACAACTGTAACTCAAATTATTTCCTAGAACCATTCAAAAAATGAGTATCAAAAAAGTTACAACAAAATCAAAATCATGAAGGGAAATTACCAATGAAAAGGCTATAACTATTTTTATATCAATACAATTCTGTGCAAAAATTTTTAGCCTCTGTAAGTATTAAATATTAAGACTTTAAGTTTAAAAAAATAATATTAGCCAAGCTGGTGTGGCTCAATGGTTGAGCCTCAAAGCATGAACCAAGAGGTCATCGTTCAATTCCTAGTCAGGGCACATGCCCACTAGGGGGAGTAAAGGAGGCAGCCAACCAATGTTTCTCATCAATGTTTCTATCTATCCTTCTTCCTTCCTTTCTCTAAAATCTATATATATATATATATATATATATATATATATATATATATATATATATATTTAAATCTTACATAACACAATAGCAAACTAATTAATAGCCTCTATTCTACCATCAGCTGAAACACGGATTTTCAAAATCATTTCCGTTATAGTTATATTGTTATAGAAAACATCAGGTTTCCATCCCCCCACCCACCCCCCTTTGCTTTTTTTCCTAAAGATTTTTTTTATTGACTTTTAGAGGAGGTGGGAGGGAGAGGGAGAAAGAAAATCATAGATGTGAGAGCAAAATATCGACGGGCTGCCTTCTGCACCTTCCTTACTGGGGATCAAGCCTGCAATCCAGGCACATGCCCTTACTGGGAATCCAACCTGCAACCTTTCAGTACACAGGACCATGCTCAACCAATTGAGCCACACAGGCCAGGGCCACTCACTGCTTTTCTTAACTCCTTTTCTGGTCTATTACCCAGAAAGGAAAGAAAACAACCAGTATTCTTGGCTACTTTAGTACCATTCATTGTCAATTTCTGAGCTCTTAGTCAATGTCTTCAGAATTTAGAGATTACAGGTAATGGGAGACTAATTACAGTATCATCAGCACAATTAGGCAATCAGGAAACCAGGAAGTGACACCTGGAAGATTCACCAAATACCTGGGTTGGGGCCACAGCCAGGTTGGCAAAACATCTCTGGCCTGAGAAATATTCCTCCCTACTTCTAGTTTCCCTCAGTGCTGCCATTCCACTCCGGAGCTACCTCTGAAGGAGGAAGGGATGGAAAGGACTCTCTTTTCTCATCTGAAAACCTTGGGCTTTTCTGAAACAAAAAGGATGTTTTCATTCTAGTCCTGACAATTAATCACCTACTTTTTGTCTCTGCTTTAAACAATACACCATAGAAAGAACACACCGTTTTGGGAGAATTCTAAGCACTAGGAAATAAAAGCCCTGAAGGTTTAATTGCTAAAGCTCTCAAAGAACAGGCTACCCAAATCCATGCACATAAAATAGATGTAAGATTAGAAGATCACATCTACTGAGAAAGCATGAATTCAACACAGAGCATAAGCAAGTTAATTTAGCCAAAATCTATAAATGTACAATGTTGTTGCTAGAGCAGTTTCACCTTTCTTCTACAATATAAATCAATACATCATTATCACAAAAAGGTTTGGATTTTCATTTTATATTTTGTATTCTTACCAACTTTAGGAGGGTTGAAAGGTGCCTCTTTTAACCGCTTTTCCAATTCTGCAAGGGATGTGTTATTAATGATATCCTGCAAACCAGTAAGCAGAGAATTACAAGCCTTCATCATCTCAGTGCGATATATATTAAAGAGATACTGCCCCCTTGTGTTCTTTAAAGAAACATCAGTGTGGAGTCATCGTTTATTCAATGTAAAAGAAAACCAGCAAGTTTAATTCTCAGCATATAGAAGGTTTAGCCATATAAAAGATTTTAAACATATGTGCTAAATACTTACAGACCTTGGGCCAGAAAGCTATATTTGTTCTTATACTGTGCTGACATTCATTTCACTCAGCTGTATAAAGTCACTTCACAAAGTAGCAAATGATTATACCTTTACTTAAATTTTCTTGATTAGCACATATATAAAATAAGAAAAATAAAGGAAGAAGTGTGTGCCTGTGTAACCTATTCAAAAATATAATTATTTTAATGTTAATAATTTACATTCAAAAAGAATAAAGGGGGAGAAATACAATTCCACCATCAAAAGACAACCGCTATTCACATTTTGATATATTTATTTCTAGTCTTCTGCCAATTCTTTTTTTCTTTTTCGCTCTTCTCTTTTTTCTTTTTGGAGAATGGATTTTATCAAAAACACTTAAATAGACCAGAATTCCAAAGCTCTTAGTAGCAATTTTAAGAACTTCAAATATAGTTCAAATTTTTCAAATACCTTAAAAGGTTGTGTGCTGGCCATCAATTTAGTATCCAAGAGCCTAAAAACAAAAGAATTTTTAAAGGTAAATAAAATATATATCAATGTTCAAAATGTACTCAAATGAATAGCCTATTGTCTTAAAAGTGGACAGGGAAATTAAGCGCATTAGCCATTGTAAGCCTGGCGCTGGCATCCCTGCTAAGTTAGACTGGGAACTTGGTCTCCTCACCCAGGGACTTAATCAAGAGGCTGCAGGACAGTCCACACTCTGCCATACCCAGAGCACAAGTTCTGGATTTGCTTGTACCCTGAGAGGGTGTGGGCTACATCAATCTCAAGGAGAAGTCAAATATCCTTATATGTTTTTACATGGTCCAAAAACTGCTACAGGTCTAATATTGCCAAGCCATTACTATTCTACCACTACTACCACGTTTATACACTATAAATTCTTAGAGGGTCAAAATCTGCATTTGGTAAGTTTATATTATTGTAATTTCTTATTACTCTGTTTCAGTTAATGGAATAATAAAAAACAGAGAGAGATAGAGACTAATATGAAAACTGTTTCTTTTCACAGAAGTGAATTTAGTGCACCGGGCCTCTAATTTTAAATGAAAGATAAATCCAGGAAGGATGCTTACTTGGGGAAAACAGATGTTGTCATCTCCTTAAATTCATTTAAGTCCTAAAAAACAAGAAAATGGACTTGTTAAACTTTTACTGGTACACTCACAGCTTTAAAAACACACATTAATATTTCTAGTTGCATAGGTCTCTTCTTAAACTAACTGTTATACCTCATACAAGCCCTTTAAAGCTATACTGCCAGACCTGTTTCTAGTTGATAATAACTTTATAAAAATCTTCATAATTTCCTCACTGATTGGGAATCATATGGCCTGAGATGAAACCTTTGCAAAACCAAAACAAATTTAAGTATTTTATGACTGAAATAAAAATAGGAGAAATAGGTTTCTATTATATATATAGAAAATTTTCAGTAATAACTCTATTACACAAAATCATCATTATAAAGAAACTAAAAATTTTATTTTAAAAAGTGGTTTATACAGGAAATGGATACTGTACTAGTAAACTAGATTATTCTTTCATTGGGAATACTTTTGAAATGTTCGTTAAAATGACCACTAAAGCCTGACCGGTGTGGCTCAGTGGTTGAACGTCAATCTATGAACCAGGAGGTCACAGTTCTATTCCCATTAAAGGCACATGCCCAGGTTGCAGGCTCGATTCCCAGTAGGGGGCATGCAGGAGGCAGCCAATCAATGATTCTCTCTCATCATTGATATTTCTATCTCTTTCTCTCGCCCTCTCCCTTCCTCTCTGAAATCAATAAAAATATATATTAAAAAATAAAAATTACCATTAAAACACACAGTTTCCAATATACCAGTACACATGATTCCTGTTTTAGGTACTCAGAAAATTGCTAAAATGGCACCAACAGCAAGTACCTACATTAGACAATTCATTTTCCAAGTTTATTTTAATCAGGAAGTCTAAAGCTGAATGAGACTGCTCTAATTTTAAATTAACTCATTTACCTGCATAATTGCCTCACTAGGCTGACAGTCATATTCCTGACCCTTTGTAACTACACTTCTCTTCAGCCATTCCCAATGAGCTCTTCAAACTGTAAATACAGACTGAATGTAGCTACTTTGTAAAATTCACCAGCTTTCAAATGGCTATCATTAAATTAATGGACAATAAGTGAACTAGGGGTTTCAATGCTAACTCAAATAAAAATGCAATGAGGACTGTTTATAATCTCTCAATACCATTCATTACAAAGCTTCACAGCAAGAAAAATTTAGAATTATGGCTACTTCCAGGGCCAGCAATAGCAAAGTTCTAAACCAGCACCTTCTAAAAGTTCATATAGAAGTACCATGAAGATTAAGAAGAGACTTTCCCTTAAAAAGGTAGCTCCGAAATAAGGATTCTTTAGTTACTTTCAAATGCATGTTTTGGTACCAGTGTTTGTAAAAGTTCTACCATTTTATATAGGTTTTCTCATTTATATCACTGCTTCCAAAGATAGATGGAAGAAAACGACTTTCTTCTGACAACGATAGAACATAAGTAACTTACTCAGGTTACCTTAGTAATAATGCAAGGGATAAAACCACTTATCTTAATCCACCTCCTGCTCTGCAACAGATCATGTGCTCTTTCTACTAAAATGTGATTCAAAAATGGTTTCATTCAAGGTAACATTTATTAATTACCTACCAGAAGCTATGCTAGGCATTTATTTTGTTAGTCTGTTTGTTATGCTGGACATTTATACAAAGACAACAAGGTTATACTCCTTGTCCAAGACACTAATCACCTAACAGGAGAAAGGGGGGTAAGCTGTAAAGACAAAATTCATGCACCATAACAGGCACACAGTTCTGTGGGAGGTCAGAAAAAGAAAAGATCACCTGTTGGGCAGGCAGGGAAAACTTCCCGGAGGAGGCATAAGCTGGACCACGGTAGATAGGTAAAGTTGTATACAGCAAGTACTGAGAAAAGCTAGAGAGTATTCAAATTGGAGGAAATTATATTCCAAAATGACAAACATACAAAGCACTTCTCAGGGAACAAATGAGCCATTCTGGCTTGGAATAAGGAGAATAACAAGTGGCTAGACTATGCGAGAAGGTTAGGCTAGATCATAGAAAGCTTAATATGCCAAGCTAAAAAGAATCAACTGGATAGAGAAACAAAGAATGTGTAATTGTTCAGAATTTTAAGCAGGGTCAATGATGTGAACAGAGACATACATTATCAGAAGATTATAAAACTGGCACAGTGGGAAAGCACTCATTTGTTAAATCAATATTCAATACCTACAATGTGCCAAACTCTGCTTGGTATCCAAAACACCTATAAACATGGTATTAAATACACTTTCCTCTTTCCTCACTGATAACTTCATTGCTTTAAAGGTCAAAACGTCACAAGAGCCTGGCTGGTGTGGCTCAGAAGTTGAGCATCGATCCAGGACCTGAAAGGGTCAGGGCATTTGCTGGGGTTGTGAGCTCGGGCCCAGCAGGGGGTGTGCAGGCAGGAGCCAACTGATGATGTTCCTCTCTCATCAATGTTTCTATCTCCTCCATCCCTCTTCCTCTCTCTCTCTAAAACTCAATAAAAACATTTTTTTAAGTGAGAAAAGCTGCTACTTTTTTGGCCAATAAGAGATGAATATTAGATCTTTAGATTTATAGAATGCAAATTCACACCCTGGCCAACCTCCTACTTTTTAAGCAAAGCTTTTTAGAACAAAGCCACATCCATTTCTTTACGCATTCTATGGCAGTTTTGGGACTACAACAGCAGTGTTGGGTTACGACAGAGGCTGTGCAGTCTGGAAAGCCCCAAATACTTATCTTACCACTGGCCCTTTATAGGAAAAGTTTACCTATCAACCTATGATTTAAAGGATGGGCTGAAGGATAAAGTGAGTCAAGAAATGCTGTCTGAAATTTGCTGAACGCCAGATGAAAAACAGGCTGCTTGCAATTGAAATAAAAAGAATCCAAATGCAAGACACAGCATGGAAACAAAATTGTCAGGATTTTTAACTGACCAGGTCTGGGGGGAAGAGAAAAAGTCAAAACGAATGTTAAATATAGTCTTGGTTCCTGGGTATCATTTTTAATAAAGGAATTCATAGAAGGAACTCATTTCAAGGCAATAAGAAGGAAAGAAAAGGTAATGCAAGTTACATGTCTCCTTTGAAACTTGTTAATATTTTTTTAATATATTTTATTGATTTTTTTACAGAGAGGAAAGGAAAGAGATAGAGAGCTAGAAACGTCGATGAGAGAGAAACATCGATTAGCTGCCTCTTGCACACCCCCCACCAGGGATGTGCCCACAACCAACGTACATGCCCTTGCCCGGAATCAAACCTGGGATCTTTCAGTCCGCAGACCGACGCTCTACCACTGAGCCAAACCAGCTTTGGCTGAAACTTGTTAATTTTAAAGACCATTCAGTCTGAAGGCTCTCCAGGTAGGGACATGTGGAATCCAGCATCAACTGTATTCCCAGTTCTAAGAGAGATCAAGCTGAAGAGACTAATGTCAGTGTCTTCAGCTGAAGTTACAAAAGTGAGTGAGACCACTAAAAATCAGAAAATACGAAGAGTAAATACAGGTGATGGGAGGACAAGTGAGATGCGGCCATGTGAAGTTAGGGAACAGAAGGAAAGAGACAGAAGAGAAGCTCTTTTCCTGAGCCAAAGAAGCTCGTGCTTTCATGCACTGAGACGACTTGGCTCCAAGAGTGAAAAAAAAAAAAAAAAAACAAGGTCAACAGAGAATCTAAGGGAAGCAGCTTAGCAAGAGGTAATCAAGAACTTTGCAGGAGCCGATCCAGTTCACTGGATCTAATGCACCACTCAGCTTCAATGGCCCTGCTATGTCTAATGTTAGTGTTAGCAAACTAGACAACCACACCTGTGGCTGAGAAACCCCTACCCAGCTCTAATGAGCAAACCACTGACATTAAGATAAAGCAAATGTTTACCCTTCCTCTGGCAATGGCAGATGATTGAAGATCCCTTAAAATGCCCTGTACATACATGTACAACCCTTCAAAACTGTACAACCAAGCCCGGCCAGTGTAGCTCAGGGTTGAGCATCCACCCATGAACCAGGAAGTTACAGTTTGACTCCTGGTCAGGGCACATGCCCGGGTTGCTGGCTTGATCCCCAGTAGGGGAGGCATGCAGGAGGCAGCCAATCAATGATTCTCTGTCATCAATGATTCTCTCTCATCACTGATGTTTCTATCTCTCTCTTCCTCTCCCTTCCTCTCTCTGAAATCAATAAAAACATATTTTTTTCAAAAATGTACATCTAAGCCCTAACCGGTTTGGCTCAGTGGATAGAGCATTGGCCTGTGGACTACAGGGTCTCAGGTTTGATTCCAGTTAAGGGAATGTACCTTGGTTGCAGGCACATACCAAGTAGGGAGTGTGCAGGAGCCAGCTGATTGATGTTTCTAACTCTCTATTCCTCTCCCTTCCTCTCTGTAAAAAGTCAATAATATATATATATTATATATATATATATATATTTTTTTTTTTTTAATGTACATCTAAGCACATGACCTCCCTCTCTGGGAACATGCTGCATACAAGAAAACAACACTCAAATAGAGAACACTCTCTCAGTAATAAAGAATCATGAATTTTCAACACAGGCTGCCAAGTTACTTACCTCAGGCAGAGGACAGCAGAACTGATGAACTGTGTGCATAACATCCAAGAGCATATTGTGTCCAATAATAAGTTTGCCCTAAAGAAAGTCAAAGTTAGGAAAAAGAAGTCCTGGTACAAAATTATAGTAGGGCTGGAAAATGAAAATCCATGAGGATTTTCTACTAAACTTATTTTACCACATTAAAAAAAATCATAAATATACACAAATAAGAAAATTAGGGTTGACTTCATCCTTTTTAAACTTTGGGGTGTTAAATATAGAATGCAAAATAAAAGCTCCAAATGGTTTTGATTTCATTGATCTTCTTCTCTAATTTTTTATTAATCTTGCCACCCACAAGAATCAAGAGTACTAAATTTTGATTGAAGGTCTCAAGTTAAAAAATGTAAAATCTGAAAACACTAGGTCCCTTGCACTATCAAATTATTTGTGAACTCCAAATACCTACTTTAGAACTGTGTTCTTTAAAACAACTCATTTATTTTTAAAAGATACATTCATAACAATGCTAAAAGATAAAAATTACTTTCTAATTATAATAAACAAAATAAATTCTCATTTCCTTTATCACTTATGTCAAAATTCATGGGCATGTTCTTAAATACCATTTTCAACAAAATCATTGCTTTTCAACCAACTAAAGTACAATATGTATGCAATAAGTTCACTCCATTTTGATAAAAATTAAACTACCAAAATGGAATATCAACTTAGATTTAGCTAGCCAGATAACACCATCCTATAAATTCCTGTATAATAAATAGCTAATATGCTAATTAGACCAGATGCTGGAACGACCTTCCAGAATGACTAGTGGGCAGGGCCACGGGGCCACAAGGCAGTTGGGGCTGTGAGGAATGAGGCATCTAAGCCCCTTGCACAAATTGATGCATTGGGACTCTAGTTTTTAACATAAAGCATCAGGTCACTATAGTGGAGCTTTTTACTATGTTCCAGTGGACCTTCAGAGTAACACTTCTTGACTCATTGGACTAAACATAATTATTTGAAATAAATAATTCTATATAAAATTTCCCAAATCTAACAGACAAGCTGTCCTTGAGGCTCAGTGTTTCTGCACATTGTGAATACCTAATTCAATGCTAAAATATCAAGTACTGATTGAAACTATAGAAAAGTTGTGGAGGAAATCCAATATGAAATGCTAACACTAATAAAACCTAACTATATTATAAATGAAGGAGGCTGGGAAGAAAAGAACAAAAAACACAGTATCGTGACTAAATGTCAAAGGTGGTACAAATTGAAAAACAACTCTACATAATAAAAGTGTAGTATGGCCGGGACCGGTTTGGCTCAATGGATAGAGCGTCGGCTTGGGGACTGAAGGGTCCCGGGTTCAATTCCGGTCAAGGGCATGTACCTTGGTTGCGGGCATATCCCCAGTAGGGGGTGTGCAAGAGGCAGCTGATCGATGACTCTCTCTCATCGATGTTTCTAACTCTGTATCTCTCTCCCTTCCTCTCTGTAAAAAATCAAAATATATTAAAAAATAAAAATAAAAATAAAAATAAAAATAAAAGTGTAGTATGCAAATTGTCCCTTTAACCGGGAATTCATCCAGGAGTTCAACCAGGGGGGCCAGCGGAGGGAGGAAGGGAGTACCCAGCTGACAGCCAGTAGCCAGCAGCCGCTAGGGACCCTACCAATGGACAAATTTTGTGCACTGGGCCTCCAGCATAAATAATAAAAATACTACATTATAATCTGTAGAATTAATGTATTTCCCTGAGTCCATACTCATACATTTTTTAAATTATTAAATAAACAGGGGAGAAGGGATAGCTCTTCCTTACAAAAGAATGCCAAGAACAAATATAAAAAGAGGAAAATACAAATTCGCCAAACATCATCAGAGTAATAATGGCTGCAGGTAAGACTCACTGATAGATGCTGTATTAGTGGGCCGAAGTTTGAGAAAATACAGCTTTTCATAGGCTCAAAATCTCTCCTGAGATATTTATTACCCACCAAGGGAAAAGTAATAATTTCACAGTGTACAAGTCTAGCAGACATCACCTTGTCAACACTTAGAACCACCATTTCAGCAGTATTGTTTTATAAACTGCATATTAGTATCCTCAGTCCAATCATACAAAAGATCAGATAAATCCAAACTGAGGAACATTTGATGAAATGCAAGCAATACTGTTTAAAAATATGATATCAAAGTTACAGACTGCAGAAGACTAAGGAGAAATAACAAGTAAATGTAATGTGTAATCTTAGATAAAATCAACAACAGAAAAAATAGTGAAAAAACTGGTGAAATTCAAATAAGGTCTACAGTTTAATTCATAATATTGTGCCAATGTTACTTCCCTGGTTCTGATAGCTGTCTGGCTATATAAGAAGTTGACATTAGGAGTAGGTAGGTGAGGAACACATGGAAACTCTGTACTATTTTTGAAACTTTGCTGTAAGTGTAAAGTCAGTAAAAATAGTTTTTAAAACTATAGAAAACATAGATTTATTACTAAAGTAACAGGAAAAGAACTTGGTGTGACATAGCTATTTAAGAGTATTTACTGTTCACTAGCTTTACAAAGCTTAACCTAAAATGTTAGCATTTTTAAGGCATGTAACTTTTAAATTTTAAACATCTGCATCACTAATAAATAGAGCTTTTTTTCATAGTATGGTTCGTGACATAAACTATCAAAGGTCAGCCACATACTATGAATTATTCTGTGAAAGACAAGAGAGGAAACACAGAAACACAGCAAGATATGGTATCTGAATTTGTACAAAGTGAACAAATGTCCCAGCTAACTAAACTATAATGAATGCTACAAGAGAACGCAAAGCCTACTAATGTCCCACATCCCTGTTCTTTAGGGTCAGCCTCAGTCAAGCCAGCTACTTATCTGAAGTCTTCTAGCTAAGTGTGTATAAGGTGAGCAAATGTGACTGTTTTTCTAGATACCTGGGACCTTAGCCACTTCTGAAGAGACTCTCATCTTTCCTCCAGGCTCATCCAGCTTACTATTCCATTCTGATTATCTTGCTTACTTTAGAGAAGGAGCTCCTAGGAGCCAGCCCTTTTTTGTAATTTCTATTTCCCCCCAGTTGAAGACAACGGTGAGACAGCCATGAAACTTTGAGAGGGTCTCTACGGACTTAAAGCTTCTGGTGCAAAGCTCAACATCTTAGGGACAAGACGAATTCTTTTCAGAAAAATGAGTCCTTCTCCCAAGCCCAACTATTCAAGAAAAAAAATGAAATTTAGCATCCAAGCAAGCAGTCTGACGTGGATATGTAATTCATAAAACCGCAAGCAGCATGATCCAGTTTATCTATTCAACATGTGGATGCCTCTTTTCCAAAAGGACTTAGAAAACAAAAAAAAATGTCTACCATATATACCACAGAACCCTCTAGCACATTTACACAAATGCTAACCACATTTTTAAAATGTCAAATATTATTTAGGCTATCCGATATAAGATTCCATTACAGTTATGCAGAATAACTCAACACAGACAATTATTTTTCATCCTTTAGATTCTTCTAAGAGAAAAAAAACACCTTCCAACACCTGACTGTTTTGCCCTATGTTCCTTATTTTTTTACCCTACTTCTTATTGGTTTTGAAAATAATAAATATTGGCTTCATGTAGCCATATAAGGACCTCATATTATAATCCTCCTATGAATTTATAAGAAAAGTTTTCTAAAAAAAAATGCTTTGGATTAAAAAATGGTGACAGCAATTATGTCAAACCAAGCATATCATAACAACAATCTACCTTTATGAAGTTCTAACTTTTTCCTCCATACCAGGTAAACACTATAAATGTAACCAAATGATTAATTGCAATGATAATTAGGCATTTCACCTTCAATGTTATGTTCTGGAATCTAGTTAAAAACAAAAAGTCCAGTTCACTTACCGAATTAGCAATGGCATGAATGACTCTAGAAAATCCCACAGCATCATTCAGTTCTTCCTAATGTAAAACAAACAAACAAAAAACTACTCACTTACTATATTCCTATATTTTCATGGATTAAACCCTAGCCAAAGGGGGAAAAAAAAAAAAAAAAACTGAAATTTTATAGCGAGTTAGCTTATTTTCACCTGCTTTGCATCTATCATCCCTAAACCTCATCTCAAATGATTTATGGTATTCCTTTATTATGTTTTAGAAAGTGGAATGAGCCGAAACCAGTTTGGCTCAGTGGTAGAGCATCAGTCTGCGGACTGTCCCAGGTTCGATTCCGGTCAAGGGCATGTACCTGGGTTGCGGGCACATCCCCAGTAGGGGGTGTACAAGAGGCAGCTGGTCGATGTTTCTCTCTCATCGACGTTTCTAGCTCTCTGTCTCTCTTCCTTCCTCTCTGTAAAAAATCAATAAAATATATTTTAAAAAAAAAAAAAGAAGAAGAAGAAGTAGAAAGTGGAATGAGCAGGAGCCAAAATTTTTTAATTATTGATTAATTACTAAAATAACAGTGCTGGGGCTTACTTGGAATTTCCAAGTCTATCAACCCATCTTAAAAAACATAACTTTTAAAATCTGTCACCTGTTGGCCAAATTCAATACTGAATTAAATTTTTAGGACATCCATGCAGCAGTCAACTTATCAAAATAGCATTCCCATAATCCTTTTTAAAAATGTTTTTATTGATTTCAGAGAGAGAAAGGGAGAAGGAGAGAGAGAAACATCAATGATGAGAATCGTTGACTGGCTATTTCCTGCACACCCCCTACTGGGAATCGAGCTGGCAACCCTCGCATGTGCCCTGACCTAGAATCTAACTGTGACCTCCAGGTTCCTGGGTCAATGCTCAACCATTGAGCCACACCAGCCAGGCTCTAATTTCTTGTTTTTGTTCCTTATTGAAAGCATTTTTATAAAATTTTATAGTACGGCATTCTGAAACTCATCCCCTCAGTTTTTTCTTTCCTATTTCCTTACTAACAGTGTTTAAATAGGCTCAATGGCTCAATTTTTCTCTCCTATCTAGAAACTCCTTCCTTAACTCTAAGCTCCATGCAACTACTTACTTTCCCTTCTTCTTATCTCTTTACATATAAATTACTTTAAAGACTTTCCTCCACTAACTAGCTCCAGTTTAACCCAGAACTCGCAGCCTTCTGCTCTCTAGCATCACCCTCAATGAAATTGCTTACCTCTTTAAACAACTCCCAAAGCTAACTAGTATTACTAGAAATAGGACCACTTGTGACCTGTTGGTGGGAATGCAAAGTGGTATAGTCACTATGGGAAACAATATGGCAGTTCCTCAAAAATTTAAACAGAATTTCCATTTGATCCAACAATTCCACTTCTGGGTATATACACCAAAGGACTCATTCAGCCAGTTTGACTCAATGGTTGAGCATCGACCTATGAACAAGGAGGTCAGGTTCAATTCCTGGCCAGGGGCACAGGCCCAGGTGGGGTCTCAATACCCAGTGTGGGGCATGCAGGAGGCTGCTGATTTATAATTTTCTCATCATTGCTGTTTCTAACTCTCTGTTCCTCTCCCTTCATTTCTGAAATCAATAAAAAAAAATTTTTTTAAATATATTTTATTGATTTTGTACAGAGAGGAAGGGAGAGAGATAGAGAGCTAGAAACATCGATGAGAGAGAGTCATCGACCAGCTGCCTCTTGTACACGCCCTACTGGGGATGTGTCCGCAACCAAGGTACATGCCCTTGACCGGAATCGAACCTGGGACCTTTCAGTCCGCAGACCGACGCTCTACCACTGAGCCAAACCGGCTTCGGCAATAAAAAAATATTTTTAACAAAAGAAAGCAAGAACTCAGAAATACTTGTACACCTATGTTCATAGTAGCATTATTCAGAACAAAAGGGTTGAAGCAACCCAAGTGTTCATCGACTAATGAATAAAGAAAATGTGATGAATGGATAAAGAAAATGTGGTATACAAATGGGATATTATTGAGCCTCAAAAAGAAAGGAATTCTGTTACACACTATAAAATGAATGAACCTTGAGGATTTTACGCTAAGTGAAATAAGACAGTAATACTGTATAATTCCACTTATATGAGGTACCCAGAGTAGTCAAATTCAGAGACAGAAAGTACCTGAAGCCGGAAGAGAGGGAAATGGGGAGCTATGTCTAAGGGGTACAGAGTTCAGTTTTGCAGGATGAAAAGACTTCTGGAGATGGATGTGATGATAGTTACACAACAATCTGAATGTATGTAACACTATGGTATTGTTCAATTAAAAATAGTTACGATGGTAAATTCTGTGTTATTTTACCACAATGAAAATACAACATTTTAAAAGACTATTTTAAAAAGAAAAAGCCGAAGAAAAACACAACATGATCTCACTCATTTATGGATAATAAAGAACATTATAAACTGATGAACAAAAAGATAGGTACAGAGACAGTAAAGCAACAAAACAGACTGTAAAATTACAGCGGGGAGGGTAGGGAAATATGGGGAAGATAAGAGATCAACTGAAGGACTTGTATGCATGCATATAAGCAAAACCAATGGATGAAAAACTGGGGAGGAAGGGCATGAATGGGAGTGGGGAGGAGGGCAATGGTAAGATATGTACACATATAATATCTTAATAAAAAAAAAAATGGGAAAAAATTTTTTAAAAGAAAAAGCTGAAACCGGTTTGGATCAGTGGATAGAGCATCGATCTGCAGACTGAAGGGTCCCAGGTTCGATTCTGGTCAGGGGCATGTACCTTGGTTGCAGTCACATCCCCAGTGGAGGGTGTGCAGGAGGCAACTGATAGATGTTTCTCTCTCATTGATTTTCTAACTATCCCTCTCTCTTCCTCTCTGTAAAAAATCAATAAAAATATATTTTTTTTTTTAAAAAGAAAAACAATTCCAAGGACTAAACCCAATAACCATATCCTTACCCTTCTCTAGAGTAGCAGACACTGTTTGACATCCCCTTCTTCAAACATTCCCTCCCATTGGCTGCTATGTCACAATAACCTCCTGGTGCATTTTTCTATTATACTTCTATCATTTAAATGATGGTCTTTAGAATCCTACACTAAGTCCTCTTCTCATTCCTTCTACACACTGTATGTACTCTAATCCAGTCCCAGTATCTCTGCCAACAACAATCAAGTGTAGCCCTCACCTCTGTCCTATGCTCCAGAATAACAACTCTGCCTACGGACACCTACCCTTGGATGTCCCAAAGACCCTGGTGACCCCATACATATCCAAATAGGCCACACAGGCGAAGGCTTGAGCTGCAAGTAATCTGCATCTTGGTGAAACATCCCAGGAAGAAAGGATGGGAGGCAGAAGCTTGCAAGGAGTTGCTAATATGCCATCTTCCGCCAACCTCCCTCTGTCCCAGGAGGCCGAGATAGTTTCTCACTGCCTCCCGGATTCTGATGAGGCTTGGGACTTGCTGCCTCACCACCACACCACCAGCAGCCTACCCTTGTCAGAAGAGAGCTGCAGAATATCAAAGCACCTGGCTGCAATCTAGAATTGGTTCCTTAATAATGGAGTATCCACAATTCATGTTGCAGCCATCTGGCCCTTTTTTTTTCCCAGTTGTCTTTTTGTGTATGGAACAAGGACCACATGTAGCTGGCACCTTTGGCTGAGCTTCCTTCTCTATGTAAGTTATAAAACATCTAAATCTAAAAATGGTTTATTGTGTCTTTATTGGTTGAATCAGTCAGATGTGACCCTACCTTATATATCTGTCAGTTTGACATGCACCCACACACAAAAAAAAAACCTACTTCACTTGTGTCCCCTCACCAATATCATTCAAGCCCGCTCCATCTAAGTGAACTGACATCAGTCTACCCAGTTGCTCAAATGTCAAGCTTGAGCATCAGCATCTTCCTTCTCTTTTCCTCTTTCACCACAAACATCCAATCACAAATTCACTGATTATACCTTCTACATATCTCCAGATTTCACCAAAACTACTACTAACTACCCTATTCCAGATCACTGATATATCTCAGCCATGTTATACCACAGCTTAACAGGCCTCCCTACCTCTAATCTTTCTCAAATCCATTCTCTAGATAGCAATCAAGATGATGTTCCAACAACACAAATACGACCATGTCATCCGAATCTGTCAAATCATATATTCTAAACTTTGTTGTAGTAAAACTGGTAACTTGCTTGAAATCAGAATAGTGGTATTAGTTAACAGTCAATGAAAGCCAATGACACGTAATCCCAATGATAATCAAAAACACTTTTTTCAAGACTGCTTCATACTAGGGAAGATTGGTCAACCATGTCAGATTCACTTTGTTGGCTATGTCTAAATACTTAAGTTCACCTTGTTCTATTCTAGATTTTCCTACCAATTCAATTTTTCTATTGTAGGAAACTAATCATTAAATTGAATGCAACATATGATCTATAAATATAGAGAAAGTTATTTCTTTTGGGTCTCATTTATCATCGGAAGGAAATGAATGTAACTCAATTACCTGTTCTTTAGCATGTTTCTGCTGCTCTCTTCTTTTGCGTTCTTCTTCATCCACTTTGCTGACAACTATGTATCGCTCTTTCTAAAAGACATAAAGCCAACATACACTTTTCTGGAAGCAACTTGACCCACAAAATTCCAAATTCTGCTTCCATGAGAAGTTATCATTTTTATCACTTCATGTCTTTCATGAGCTAAAAACACTGAAAGAATTTTTAAATGCCACCAAAAGTTGAGTTGATGCATTACAAACTAAAATCCTGCTTCTGTGTTTCATGACAATTTTCCATGGTTTATTAATCCAACACAGTTAAAAGTATCAACAGCCTTAGCTGGTTTGGCTCAGTGGATAGAGCGTCGGCCTGCATACTGAAGGGTCCCGGGTTCAATTCCGGTGCCCTGGTGGTGGGCTCGATCCCCAGTAGGGGGTGGGCAGGAGGCAGCCCATCAATGATTCTCTCTCATCTTTTTTTTTTCTCTCTCTCTCTCTCTTCCTCTCTGAAATCAATTAAAAAAAATTTTTTTTTAAATTATTGCCCTGGCCAGTTTTGGCTCAGTGGATGGAGCATCAGCCTGCAGACTCAAAGGTCCAGGTTTGATTCCGGTCAGGGGCATGTGCCATGGTTGCAGGCACATACCAAGTGGGGGTGTGCAGGAGGCAGCTGATTGATATTTCTTCCTCTCTGTAAAACAATCAATAAAATATATTTTAAAAAATAAAAGATTATCAACAGACTGTGAGAATAAGACACTTTTCAAGATAAACACTAAAAAATTATATTGCATCTAAACAGTTGGTTTTAAAATAAAGTTTGCACATCATATTTCATGAACATAGAAAAAATCCTGGATTTTCTAATAATTTGTCAGATACCTTCTTCCTCATATATTGTATTTTTTTTATCAATTAAACACACCATAAAATCTTCTATGTCAAAGTTTGAGATTTATTTCTAGTAAGATTGTTTCTTAATTCACTTAATCTATATATATAAAAGCCTAGCCGAAACCGGTTTGGCTCAGTGGTAGAGCATCAGTCTGCGGACTGAAAGGTCCCAGGTTTGATTCCGGTCAAGGGCATGTACCTGAGTTGTGGGCACGTCCCCAGTAGGGGGTGTGTAAGAGGAAGCTGGTTGATGTTTCTCTCTCATCTACGTTTCTATCTCTTTCTATATCTCTCCCTTCTCCTCTGTAAAAAATCAATAAAATATATTTAAATAAATAAGTAAATAAATAAAATAAAAGCCTAAGCGACCTTTACGACCAGTCCACCGGTTGACTGGTGCTATGACATGCACTGACCATCAAAGGGCAGGCGCTCAATGCAGGAGCTGCTCCCTGGTGGTCAGTGCGCTCCCACAGCCAACCTTCCATGCCCAGCCAACTTCCCACAGTCCCTCTCCCCTGCTGGCCAGCCCCAATATGATTAGGCAAGATGGCCCTGATCAGCCCCCACTGCCTGCCAGGCCAAGGAATCCCACCCATGCACAAATTTGTGCACCAGACCTCTAGTTTTTTATATAATTTGACATCTGACTTCAGAGCAACAACTAAATTCTAAAATCCTAAAATTTTGCAAAAGGAACCCATCATCAACTCACCATTACCCATCACAGTTCTGTCAGTACACCTTGGGGATACATGACAATACTTATGCATACAATTATGGCCTAAATTCTAAACTTTAATTTTGCTTGTCCACATAACAGGAATGCTTTAATTAGAACATGTACTAACATTTGCATGCTTTCAAATTCACAAGCCTGCTCACTCCTACTGGATCAGCATAAAAAAGCATTATAGCCGAAACCGGTTTGGCTCAATGGATAGAGCATCGGCTTGGGGACTGAAGGGTCCCAGATTCGATTCCGGACAAGGGCATGTACCTTGGTTGCGGGCATATCCCCAGTAGGGGGTGTGCAAGAGGCAGCTGATCGATGACTCTCTCTCATCGATGTTTCTAACTATCTCTCTCCCTTCCTATCTGTACAAAATCAATAAAACACATATTTTTTTTTAAAAAAAGCATTATAGATCAGCATTACCATGTCCATGTACAAATGAGAAAAATGTGGCTTTAAGCAGTTAAAGAACTTGCTAAAGGTCACCCAGCTCATAAATAGCAGGACCAACAAGTGAATTCCGACTTCTGACATATCAATGTACCATTGCATGTGTTTGTTAGCCCTGGATAATGCTTGAGGTTACCTTTTCAGTTTCTAAAGTCTCAACGTGAATGCCTTTGGGATACCTAAAGAAAAGGAAGAACACATCACATCAGTAGAGGAGAAAATGACAGCTACCACCATAAGTATTTTAAAAGCAACTAAGATAACTATAATTTAATTAAATCATTAAATATGAAATAAGTATTACTGTGACAAAACATAGTCCATAATATTTCAGCTGCTAAATGAGCCCACAACCCAGGAAGAAGTAAAATAAAGTGCTGCACAATAATTTAAAATAGTTAAATTATCAAGTACAGTAGAATTCTATAAATGAAATGAGAGCTAAAAGATTATATTTCACTTTTAAATCCTGGGTCCCTCACAGAATTCTTGTATATAATATAAACACTTACTTCCAGTTCAAAGTTTGATAAATTAGTTTTCTTTGGAACCTAAAACAAGAGAAAAGACATTGGTCTTGGCTTATTAAAAGAAGATCCTAATTGATCAAGCACTGGTAGGGAAAGACATTTAATTTTTTAAGAACTTCAATAAAAGTGATAGGTAATATGCAAATGGGCAGAATGTCCGGCAGGCGTGGCTCAGTGGTTGAACACTGACCTATGAACCAGGGAGTCAGGGCACATGCCCAGGATTTGGGCTCCATTCCCAGTAGAAGGTATGTGGGAGGCAGCTGATCAATGATTCTCTATCATCACTAATGTTTGTCTCTCTCTCCCTCTCCCTTCCTCTCTGAAATCAATAAAAAATATTTTTTTTTTAAATGGGCAGGATGTTTGAAGTGTGAGGATTCCTCACCACTTGCCTTCATCAAAGTATTCTTTAATATTATTATACTACCTTTATAGAAGAGGTTGGAGTTCCCTTCTAATCGAAGTTTTACTTCCTGTGGCTTATATCGAGTTAAGGTAGACAGATGCACTTAAATACTTTTGTGAAACTAGTCACACACAAAAAAGTACAATGTTTAAGTTACTGACTCTTTGAAACACTGATTTTTTTTTTAACACAGAAAAATTAAAAGCATAGAAGTAGTCTGGGAGTAAATTCTCTTCTGAAGTCTTTATAAATTAAGTACTCCTCGAGAATAAAACAATTATGCCACTCTTAAGCATAACTTAAACCAAAATTCCACAACAGTTTAAGCCTTTACAGGATGAGACAAAGCTCTCATTCAGTGTTTCTATAAATTATCAGACCCACTGAATTAATGTTAAAGTTAGTGCTTCAATTTTGGGAGTATGACTACAATAAAAACACTATTTATGAAAATGTTTTTGTTTTGCTGAGACCGGTTTGGCTCAATGGATAGAGCATCGGCTTGGGGACAGAAGGGACCCAGGTTCGATTCTGGTCAAGGGCATGTACCTTGGTTGCGGGCATATCCCCAGTAGAGGGTGTGCAAGAGGCAGCTGATCGATGACTCTCTCTCATCAATGTTTCTAGCTCTCTCTCTCCCTTCCTCTCTGTACAAAATCAATAAAACATATTTTTTAAAAAAAAGAAAGAAAATGTTTTTGTTTTGTTTTGTCTTTATTTTTTCTATTGCTCATTTAATTTTGTAATTGTTGACAGTATTACAGCTGTCCTCCAATTTTCCCCCCTTTCATTCCCTTCCTCCCAGCTCCTGCCCCACTCCAGGCCTTTACCACACTATTGTCTGTGTCCATTGGTTATGACATATGTATGTAATTTCTTTGGTTAATTTCTTCCCGTCTCCTCCATCCTTCCCCACTGAGGTATGTCAATCTGTTCCATGGCTCCATGCCTTTGAAGCTATTTTGTTCACGAAGGCCAAATACAGCACATGTCAAAAATCATCTACCTTTCCCCAAAAAGATGTGAAAAGATTCAGGGCAACTAACCCAGTGCATGGGTCTAAGTCCAAGTTCTTATTTTCTTCACTCTGTAACAAATCTTCTATTTTCTCTCTGAAAAGTTAAAATAAAAACATGAAAGTCAATACCTTTAAGGCAGTGTTTCCCAAAGTGTGGTACGCGTACCCACAGGGGTACGGGAAGAGTTTGGTGGGGATATGCACTGCACCATGCTTAGCTGGGCCTAATTCTACCTTCTCATGAGTATAAGGGGTACTCAGCGTTACTAAAATTATAGAAGGGGTACACATATGTCAAAAGTTTGGGAAACACTGCTTTAAGGAATAAGGTCCACAATACGGCTTGAAGAAAATTAATTTATTCTGGCTTATTCGTTTTTATTGTTGTTCTCAATAAATTAATGACAACTCAAAGCTACACCCATACAAATGATTTAAATTTTTACTTTTCTAGTAAAGCAGTTATACTGATAAGTAATCTAAAAAAGCCTAGACACTCCTTCAATGGTACAATGGCTTATCAGAAACTTCACTGTAAAAGAAAAACACATGGACATGTTGTAAACATCTGGATGGGCCTGTTTCATTGCTCTGCCTTCAGAGGAACTAGACAGTGGCTACCAGGCTATTGCAGAAGGCCTTCACAGTGACATGACAAGTCTAAGTATAGTAAACAGAATCCTATTTACTATGTGCTGTTATCACACACATTCAGATATGCCATAATTAAATCCTGCCAATCACAACATCACACCTCTGTGAGTAGTATGTATGGGCAGCACAGGTTCAAGATACAGATGTCAGTCCTGCCCCCAATACACATTACATAATGCATATTTGGTTCCAGTTTATGAACTTACACCACTTGGTCAATAAACTTCTTCTGATCCTCAGGAATCGTCACAGGACACTTTGATGTGTTAGGAGACACATATGATAGAGCTCCTGCACCATTGGACTGTAAACGTTTTTCATCATACTGCTCTCTTAACTGTCTTTCTTCTTCCTGATTTAAATATGGAATTCCTAAACATAGTTTTTAAGAAAAATGTATTAGTAGAAGTAACTGTGTTAACATGAAAATTGTTTAACAAACCAAAGAGCCTAAAATACTCAAGAAAGGCCTAATTTAACTATATTTAAAAAAAAAAAAAAAAGTCAGCAGAAAAAGCAAATGATTTTGAAATATGTTTTCTATTCATACACTCCATTCACTTATTCTTTTAAGAAAATTTTATTTGGCACTTAAACGTTGTTTCAGGAAATGTATGAGGCACTAGGGAATCTACTAGTGAGCAAATCAGATGCATCTTACTGTGTAGTAAATAAAATGACTTTAGCCAGGATGATCAGAGAAGGCCACTGTGATTGAGGCACAAAGCATAAGAATGATTCAAATATGCAAAAAAAGAAAGAGTGTCTCCAGCAGGGAAGTAAATATAAATGTACTGAGGATGGACATGGCATGGACTATTCCAAAAACAGCAAGGAAGCTTGTATGGCCAGAACACAAAGAACAGGAAGATGGCATGACACTAGGCTGGAGAGAGAATGGAGCAAGATTACAGGCCACAGTAAAAATTTGTTATATTCTAAGAGCAATGGAATGCCATTAGAAGATTTTAAACAAGGTAACTAAATTACCTGCCTCATGTTTTAAAAAGATCACCTGGAGTAGGGAAGTCAGTGCTGCAAGCAATTGTCCACTATAATTGTCCAGGCAAGAGATGATCACTTAGATCAGAGATCAGTAAACTTTTTCTTAAAGGGACAAGTAATAAATGTTTTAAGTTTGTGGGATGTATGAGGGTAGCTGTTGCAACTATTCAGCTCTGCTCTTGTGGCATGAAAAGCGTAACATACAATGAGTAAATGAATGGTCACAATTGTGTTCTAATAAAATTTTATTTACAAAACTAGTGTCCTAACTACATTTGGGACTTGTATTTTATAATGGCTTTCAGAACCAAGTATGAGCCAAAAGAAAAAAAAAAATTATTTTACATATCCAAATTATATTACCCACTTGGTTTACCCACTATGTTAAGCAGTTTGGGCTCCAATACTTTTTAGTTATCTCCAAAAGTCAAAATCAACAATGGAAATTAAGATACAGCACCACTGAAGCAATTAAAAAACAACATATCAAAAACATATCCAGAGACACAGAAGCATCAATCAGACCATCAAACCTCAAAAGGAGAGTAAGGGAGGGAGATCAACCAAAGGACTACTATGCATGCATATAAGCATAACCAATTGACACAGATACCAGGGGAGGGGAGGGCATGGGGGTGAGGGGCAATGGGGGATAAGGACACATATGTAATACCTTAATCAATAAAGAAAAAAAAAAAACTAAACATAGCATGCATTCTAAAGGCCTCCCAGGAAGACCACATTGAGAGGAAGTGAATTTATTTAAAGTCTATGTTCTAGTACTTTTGTTTAAAAAAAATTTCCTTCCTCACCTTACTCAATAATTCTACATTCACCATGGGAAAGAATACAATTTAGGGAAATAATTACAGTAAAAGTAGTTATTGACCTTACCAGCAGCAGGTGCTTAATAATGCTGATAAAAACCACAGGTTTTCCAAACAATGTTAGGGAAATGAGTGAAAGAAGGAAAACCACTCTTGTATGCTCTAATATCAGACATGCACTCATTAGGTATTTAATGGCCACTCCCCCCTGATGAAGAGGAGGAATCATACTATGTACCAAGGACAGGAATGAGACACGGTCTCTTTATTCAGAGTGCTCAGCAGCTTATCACACCAGCAAGTTAGCCATCATGATTGTACAGTCTACGCAAACTTTTTTTCCTCCCATGAGAAACAGAGAAACCATCTCTAGTGATAAAACAAACACCAATAGGAAAAGGGAGTTTTTCATTACAGATTACTGAAATACAGTTACTTTTTAAAGTACTATACCATACTACTTGTCTTACTGAAAGATAACAGGAAAGCATTCCCCACAGATTTTAGATAAATCACATAGAACAAATTATGAATAACTATGTTATTCTGTTATTAATTATGTATAAGTAATTAATTCATAGAATAAACTATGAGTAGGCTTTACTCAATAAAATCAGGAGTTTGAGAGGTTTCATTAGAGCCAGTTAAGTAGTTTCTACTCTCCTGTTCAGTTCATGGGTAACTAGGTTTGGGGGGAAAGGCACAATAAAGGTTTCAAAAACTTGCCCTGGCCATGGTTAGAGCATCAGCCCAGGGACAGAAGGGTCCCAGGTTCAATTCCTGGTCAAGGACACATACTTCAGTTGCAGGTTCTCCAACCCTGGTAGAGGCACATGAGATAGGCAACCAATTGATGTGTTTCTCTCACATTAATTTTCTCTCTCTCTCTCTCTCTCTCTCCCCCTCCTTCCTCCCTTCCACTCTATCTGGAAATCAATGGGGAAAATATCCTTGGGTAAGAATTAAAAAATAAACAAATAAAAAAAAAACTATAAATTTCAGAAACCAGAACAACTAATAGTATAATTTTTTTAAGTTAAAAAAAGATTTTTTTCTAAACCTAGAAGGCTGCATGTGATATACTGAAAATGTGAGATTCTCTTTTAGAGAGCAAACACAACAAGATAATTCTCAACCAAATCCACATTTTCACGTTCTAAAGATAAGTCACAGATAATCTTACCATTGCGGAAAACTTTGTTGAAATCAAATCCTTGGCTTGCTAGAAAGTCAATGCTTGAGCTCTGAAACAAAAGTAAACAGGACATACATTTCAGTGATTTCAATGGCAGTTATGTAAACAGAAGTGGAGAAGTAACTCAGGTGAGTAAACATAAGCAAGCAGGCAAGGAAACAACATGTCAAAAGTCAAAAGACAAGGTATTTCTACTCTCAGGCTGCCAAACAACCCATTAATTGACTTAAACTACCCAGACTAATTAAAAAAATAAAAAAAATAAAAACTATCCAGGCTCTTTTAGAACTTACAAGTGATCTGGTGCACAGATTCGTGCACACTGAAAGGAAATTAATTAGAAGAAAATTTTAATATCACTATTTGCTCTTTCTCTATAATAGAAGTCACCAAAGCTTGGCAGTAAACCAGATTCAGGGCCGACAGTGCCACAGCAATATAACCCACGGACAAAGGTGGAATGCATGGTACTGCAAGGAATGGAGCTCCCTCCTCTCTGGTTCTGGGTGTGTCACCCAAGAACCGACACTGCCAAGTCACCGTAGCTCAATGTGCATCAGATGTATCGGCCAGTTGGACGGTCAGGCAGTCACTTAGCCTTAGATTATATATAGAGAGAGAGGGAGAGATAAAACAAATATTCTTTGTTTCACAATATTTAAGAAAACTACTTGGTGAACATATATTCGCCAATAGGCAGAAAACTCCGAAGTAAAAATAAAATATATTTATACTATCTCACCCCAGTTCAACTTTAAGGTAGCTCAAATGTGCAGGTTATAAAATATCACTATCTACTTCAAATTACCGTTGGGATTCTGAAAACCCAAAATCTTGACTGGATGTTCTTTACATTCAAGATCAAAATAGATAAAAATTCCCAGTAACAAGATATTCAACAAGCATCTGAAACCTAGGGTGAGTTGAAATATTTAAGTAAATTTAAATAAAAACATTAAGTAAATAATATTACACAATGTATAGAAGAATGGCAAAATCACAAAGTTCTTACTCAAACTGAAGAGTAAGAAATATTACTGTAGCTATTCTAATTTTCCTCTTCTTAAGTCTGAATTTAATAGGCAATGCAAATGAATCATTTTACTCTAACCCTTCAGAGAATTATCTTTCCTGAACTATTCTTTGACATTATACCATCAATCCAGACTGTCGTACTGTCCCATTAAATGCATTACAGTATTTGCTTGAGAGATATGGTTAAAAAGTAGCTAGGTCATAAAAAAATAAAAAATAAAAAAAATTTTAAACCCGTTACAAGACTAAAATTAACTTCTTTTCTCTTCACCCCCAGGCATACCTGAGATTAACTCTCAATTTTATTTGCTTATATACTACCTCACTATAGAAAGAATGTGACATGACTCAGTCACCCAGAAGCCTACCCTTCAGGCTTTCTTAACTGCATTACTACTTACACACAGGAGAAAGGAAAGTTGAGATGACATAAATGAACTTATATTGCTACTGGAAGAGAAGCCAGACACAGGATTATAAAGGGCCAGCCAACCCACTATCCACAGCCCCTCCCCAGGGCTGGCCCTGCCCCCAAATGGTATATAATAAATTTGTATACTGGGCCTCTAGTAAATTCAATGAAAAGGAAAAATTAAAACATAAAATAAATAAAACTGAAGGTCAGAGATGAAATAGTTTGTCCAAGCTCAAAATTAGTGGCAGAACCAAATTTTAAAGAGAATTCTGATTCCACATAAGCCCACAGACTCATCAGCAATTCATATCAGAAAAAAAAACAAACCTCAATTATGTTACTAACCTGACAAACAAATTTGACATCAGGTGAGGATCTATTGAAGGGTTTCGGGAAAACGTAGAAGTTAAATGACTTTATTACATACCTGGGGACACAAGATATACAAGAAGATTTAGGGGGTTACATTATGCCACAACAAAAGCATTCCCACCACTTGTTAAAACAACCTACTTTGAATGTATGCAGTCATACTTAAAAGCGCAAAGGCCAAACTGAAACAGCAAAAAGTCCATGGAATGCTGGAAAAGGGAAATAAAACATCTGTCAAAACAATGCTGTATGTTTTATGTGAGCAACAGTATTCTCAATCAGGTGGGCTTTCTAATTACTAAATTTGACTTTGCTCGAATACTGTTGGACAAGGAGGGAAGTGGCAGAAATTAGAGCAGGGATTCCTAGGCTGAGTTACAGGAAATTCTACGGGATCCATGGGTACGATGGAGGTGGGTCTAAGAACAGATTACAGATTATGTATTAGAAGCATTATTTATTTATATACAACCCTTAATGTTCTTCCCATTTAGACAGCTATCCACCATCCAGAGCATCATATTTGGTCTATTTCCAAATTATTAAAATAACCACATCATACTTCGTATAAATCAAATTAACACTGAAAATACTAAACCTTCTCCCAAAATGTTTTCCAGCAAACAATTATTTTTGCTGTTGTTTTAAACAACACTATAATATCATTTCATAGCTCGGGTTGAGAAGTCAATGTGCAAGTTTAATGATTAGATTTCTCTATAATTCAGTGTAAGGAGGACCAACATGGAGGAGAGGGGTGTCTTACCTTTTTGAGCTTCTGATACCTCTCTTCTGGAGTGTCAAAACCATTTGTTAATGTGGTGACAGAAGGTCCATCACTGATTCCTAGATTTTAATAAATAAAAGCTTTTTAACTTCTTAGTAAATACTAATGTAAAAAATGTCAGTCACCTATTCAGTGGCTCTGTAATTTTATATTCTCATGTATTACAAAGTGCTCCTTATTTCACTTTTTCAAAATCAGCATTCATTTCACTGGTGACCAAGCTAAACTCTATAACAACAAATTTAGGAATGTGAATGTTTCTATTTCAGAATTGGCAGTTCCCGTGTCTAAAATAGGTTTCAAAAACACAAGGATTATTTAAGAAAATAATATCTATGATTAAGTTTTACTGTTTCAAAAGTTTAATGCATAACCTGTTATCAACAAATTCTGATGTTTATTATTGTTAGAGTCCCAGCCTTGGCCAACAGCTTGGAGTAACATCTATACAACAAAAGGTATATTCCAGGTCAAGAGAAAATTATTTCTGGTGAAAACTCTTAGCTTCCAAGAGAACTGAATCCAACTAGAAAAGGCATGTATGTATAGTTAAAGCCGAGGATCTACAGGGTGTCCCCCAAAAATCTATACACACTTTAAGATTATAAAGTCAGTATTTATTAACATACAGTTCATTTTCAAAATTTAAAAGAATCAATAGAAATGAGATTTTTATACACTTTGGGGGAACACCCTGTATTTACTCTCAGCATGCATTCCTTTAGAAGGAGCTGAAGAATTTTCAAATGTGTAAAATCAGAGTGAAAGTGGATATCTATACCAAAGCAAGTCTACTGTTCATATTAACTTTAACACTTTAAAAATGAATCTCTAAAAAAAAATGAATCTGATCCAAAAAGAAAAACTCCTTGCAATTGTATATGTGGGTAAAGTATTATACACATATACACACCCAGGCCAAGGTGGGCAATGAACACTTCCACAAATGCATAAAGTCTAACCCAAAAGTCAGTCACAAAGGAACAAATATTGTATGATTCTATTTATAGGCAGTGCCTCGAGTAGTCAGATTCATAAAGATAGAAATAGTGGTTGCCAGAAGCTGGGGAGGGAGGAAGAATTGGGAGTTGTTCAAAGGATATAGAGTTCCAGTTTGGGAAGATGAAAAAGTTTAGGATGGTGGAGATGGTTGCACAAAATGTGGATGTACTTAGTGCCAATTACCTATTTTTAAATGGTTAAAATGGTCAATTTTATGTTGTGTGTTTATCTAACACACACACACACACACACAAAAGCCTGACCATAACTAACCCTGAAGCTGTCAAATTGATTTAAGCAGCACCAAAGCCATATTCTATCCGAAACCCTCAGAGCCCCAACCATCAAAAAGCCCACTTCCCTGCTTTTGAAACCCTGAAGAGGAAATGTTGAGAGACTCACGTAAACTTTTCCAAGGCCATACACAGAGAAAGGGGGCCAGCAAGCAGAAGTCAGGGGCAGGGAGGGTGTCAGGAGGAGCAGGGCCACGCACTGCGAAGTGCCGGCCGTGAGCTTGCAAGGAGGGAGGGATACCTGAAAACTCCCCATCGATGGCAAAGAAGTCCGCCTCCTCTATGGCCTGGTACACTTTGTGAAGATTACTCTTAAAATCTGCGGGAAAACCGAGAAGCTCAGAACCGGTGGCTTGGCTTTCTGCCCACAGTCGCCTAAAGGGCTAGGGGAGGAGGGCCAGGGAGCTCCTAAGGCCTGGGGCCCGAGGACAAGCACTGCGGGATGCAAGGAACCTAGAGGGTCCGGGCCCTAAAGGGGTGCAGGGGCCGGAAAGGGACAAGGACTGAGGGTGTACGGACCAGGGAGGAGCAAGGTCCTGAGGGGGCACGGGACAGAGAGGGACAAGCGCCCCAAAAGGCACACAGGCTTGGGGGTCGGGGGGACCGCACTCGTGAGAGGCTGCCTCCGCCTCCGGCCCCACCAAGCAGATTGGCGGGCCGTGATCCGGGGGCCTAGAAGGCCGAGTGAAGGGGGCCGTGGGGACGCGGGGAGGTGCACGGACGACACGCACTGCTCCTGATTATCTCCATTCTGCAGGGTGGCCGGACGCCGGGCCCGCCCGGGCTGCCGCGGCCGTTCTACTCCTCGAGTTCCGCAGCGGCAGCAGCGGCAGAGGCACCAGCTACCCAGACCGCAGCGGCGACTTCCGGGAACGGGATGCGCGGGCGCGCAGTCACGTGACCTGGCGTCACGGCGGGGGCGGGGCCAGGGCTGGGCTTCCCTCACTCCTTCCAGGGACAGGGGAGGGGCGTGGCTTCCGAAGTCCCCTAGGCTAGGCGATCTAGCTTAGGCGGGGCATTCTGTTTAGAAGAAATCAGCCTCTCCTGACATCCAATCAGGGAACAAATATTTCCTGGGTTCCTAGTATCTTCCAGGCACGCTGTAAGGAATGGGGATACAGTGATGGACAGAAGACTAGGTCCCTGGCCCACTGGAACTTAACTTGGGGGAAGGGGGAAAGTAAAGCAGGAATCAAACTTGCCACTTGGAAACTTGACGATCTTTTTGAAAAGAGCAGGATGATACAATAATAATAATAATGTGAGAGAGGGCTATTTAATAAGGTAATATGGGCCCAACCAGTGTTGCTCAGTGATTGAGTTTCAACCTATGAACCAGGGGGTCCAGGTTCTATTTCAGTCAGGGCCTACGCCTGGCTTGCGGCCTGGACCCCCAGCAGAAGGCCTCAGGAGGCAGCAGATCAGTGATTCTCTCTCATCCCTGATGTTTCCATCTCTCCCTTCCTTTCTGAAATCAATAGAAATATATTTTTAGCCCTAGCTGGTTTGACTCAGTGGATAGCTTTGGCCTGGGAACTGAAGGGCCTGGGACTGAAGGGTCCCAAGTGTCATTCCAGTCAAGGGCACATCCCCAGTAGGGAGCCTGGGGGAGGCAGCTGATCAATAATACTTTCTCAACACGGATGTTTCTATCTCTTCCTCTCCCTTCCTCTCTAAAATTTAAAAAAAAAATCTATTTTAAAAGTATATATATTTTTAAAAATTAAAAACACTTGTGTATCAAAGGACACTTATCCAACAAGGTAAAATGATAACCATGCATGGAACAGGAGAAAATATTTGCAAATCATATATCTGATAATATATTTGATAAAGGGTTAATATCCATAACATATAAAGAATTCCTGCAACTCAGCAACTCAAAAACAATCCTATTAAAAAATGTAAAAAGGACTTGGATAAACATTTATCCAAAGAAGATATACAAGTGGCCAACAAGCACATGAAAAAATGATCAATGTCACTACTGCAAATCAAAATCACAATAAGTTACCATTTCATATCCATTTTTTGAGAAATTAGAACTTCCTGTACTGCTGGAGGGAATGTAAAATGTGCAGCCACTATGGTGGCTCTTAAAAAATTAAAAATAGAATTATATGATGCAGCAATTCCACTTAGTTTTTGAACTTCACCAAAAATATCCTATGTAAAGTACACTGTGGACTTGTAATATTATTTTAATTTATGGATAATTACATATGCTAATTCATTTATTAGCAGCATTTTTCACCATAGCCAAAAGCTGGAAACATCCCAAGTGTCCATATCAACAGATGAATAAGCAAAATCTGATATGTACATACAGTGGAATATTATTTAGACTTAAAAAAATAAGGAGCCGAGTCCGGTTTGGCTCAGTGAATAGAGCGTTGGCCTGCGAACTGAAAGGTCCCAGGTTGGATTCCAGTCAAGGGCAGGTACCTTGGATGCAGGCACATCCCCGGTAGGGGGTGTGCAAGAGGCAGCTGATCGATGTTTCTCTCTCATCGATGTTTCTAACTCTCTATCCCTCTCTCTTCCTCTCTGTAAAAAATCAATAAAATATATTTTTTTTAAAAAAAAATAAGGAAATTCTGCCCTGGGTGGGTTGTTCAGTTGGTTGGTGTGTCGTCCTGAACACTATAAGGTTGCAATTCAATTTATTTATGTAAGTGACTTAAGTCAGTCACATAAAATACTGTACAATTCCAATTATGTGTGGTACCTCGAGTAGTCAGAGTCATAGAGACAGAAAGTAGACAGAGGCTGGGGGAAGGGGACCATGAGGAGGTGTTACGTGGATATGGAATTTCAGTTTGGGAAGATGAAAAAAAAATCCTGAAAATTAATAGTAATGATGGTTGCATAACACTGTGGATATACTTATTGTCACTGAACTGTAACACTTAAAAATAGGGAAAAAATGGTAACTTTTATATTACATATATCTTTAACACACACACACACACGCTGACACCTATTACCAGATTATCCTCCAGAAAATGAGTTCACAGACTTCGGGCACTGGCACAGGCGGGGCATTCTGTTTAGAAGAAATCTGCCTATCCTGACATCCAATTAGGAAACAAATATTTCCTGATTGGATGTCAGGATAGGCAGATTTCTTTTTACTCTTTGCCACTTTCATAGGTAGAAGTCATCCAAATGACCAATTTTACCATCTCCAGACCATCCATTTAAAACGGATTAACTCAGCATGAATTCTCAACGTATCAAGAAGCTTGAGGGGGGGAAAGCGGTCATTTTCATAAATGGCACGTTAGCCACAGTTCTCTGATTTTCTGCATTAAAATTTGAATGCGGAAAAAAAAAACCCTATGTGAAGTACACTGCGGACTTGTCATATTATTTTAATTTCTGCGAAATTCCAGGCTCAAACACAGCAGCCAGGAGCACACGCACAGAAACCCCAGCCTCCGGGCGTTACACGCACTGCCCTCCGGGGTCCCTGAAGAGGAAGGGGCGGGGCCGGCTTGGTACGCATGCGTGGAGCTCCTCGGCGGGGAGTGGCCGCTCTAGGCAGCGGGGAGGTCGCGGGGTGGGGGAGCTGGGAAACCAGTGCGACCTTTCCTCTATGGTCCGAGCCCCGGGCACCTTCCCTGGCTGTCTTAGGTTACTTCCGGAAGTGAAGCTGCCACCTCCACTACTTCCGCGGGGTCCAGGCTGGGGCAGCGGACGCGTGGGCCCCGGCCTGAGCGCAGGGGTAAGCAGCCGCGCGGCGGGGGAGAGCGAGAGGGAGACCCGGGCTCGATTTCGGGGCGTGAGGGTAGAGAACGGGCGTCCTAGGGTTCGGGGTTCGAGGTCCGAGGAGGCGCGCGGGGCTTTCCTTACCCAGACCCGAGTTCTGAGCAACCTCAGTCCTGGCCTTGAGGCGTAGAAGACCTCCTTCTTGGCCAGCTTCCCCCCATCCCTTCCCTAGAGCCCGCGGCGGGTCAGCGGGCCTCGCTGGTGGCCCTCGAGGGTCAGCATCAGCCTGTCGCTCCGGCATCACCCCAGGGCGAGGAGGGGGGGTCGCTTCCACACACACACACACACACACACACACACACACACACACACGGTGAAGGAGGGAATGATTGGTGCCCCCGAGGAGCACCTGCCGCAGCCTGCGACAGTGCGATCAGAATTTATTAGGCTTCTTCTGAATGCCTGGCTGGGCATTTATTCAGTTCTAATTGGCGAGGCACTCCCTGCCACAAAACGGAATGATTGCTCCCCGTTTTAAACCCGGATAACGGGTGCGCAGGAAGGCGAAAGTGAAACCGCGCAGTCACACTGGGGAAAGGCTAGAACCAGCTCTGTGGTTCCGTCCTTACGGGCAGAAATCTGAACTTGTGCAATGGGAATTTTTAAAAAAAAATAGGCACATAAGATTCGGGCTGTGAGTCTAACGGAATCTTTGGCAGGGCCTGTCAGTGCCCCGGGTGGCTGCCCTCCTACTTTGGTGGAGAGGAGTGAGTCAATAGCTGTTGGGTCCTCCCCGCCGAAGCCCATTCGTTACTCCATGGGGGGTTGTCTTTACGTCACTCTCCGAAAGGCCAATAGGAAGGAGGGTCACGCCCCCTTCCATTGCTCAACACACCCCAGAGTCCTGGCGCTGCACACGTGCGTAGCAAATTATTTGGTTTGTTTTTATTATGGCTGTTTTGTTTCCTGTCTGTCTTCAAAAACTTGATAAAATATTGTTTCTCCAGTTCTTTTTTTCTTTCTTCTTTTGTTTTTTAAATGCTCTAGTATTTGGTGCTGGCACTACTTATATAGCTGATACTCGGTAAATACAATTATTAATAGTTTTAATATGTGTGGACTATTCAGTAGTTATGGTTAGAAGTTACCACTTAAGCCTCCTTCAGAGTATATATTATTTTCCGGAACTTAATAAATGGGAAATTAGAGGCTCAGGGAGAATAAATGAGGCCTGCTTTGGAACCCAGGTCTCTCTCATTCTGGAGACTATACTGACTGAACTATAACAGCTTCTCCAGGGAAATCTCAGTATTTGAGATGAGGTAACATATTGATGCACAGAGACAGGGAGGATTAATTGGGCGGGAGGCAGGTAGTCGTTAAAGACGTTCAAATGGAAAGTTAATTTGGGTCTTGCCAGCTGGACACTTTTGACGGGGATGGTGTGGAGCTGGGTTACAGACGGAGGGAACAGCGTGATATGGCAACATGAGCAAGGAGCAGGAATTAATATGTAGGATTAGAGTATGAAGTAGGTGCATAGTAGGGGATAACCACAATAATAATAATAGTTAACACTTAAATTGCACTAGGTGCTAGGCACTATTCTCAGTGCTATGCACATGTTAATTCATTTCATCAACAACCCTATCATGGAGATACTATGAATATCCCCATTTTACACATGAGGAAACAGAACAAAGGTCGAGCGGTTTGCTTGAGGCCAAACAACTAATAATTGGTGGAACTGGCTTGAGCAAAGGAAGGGCTTGATCCGAATTGTGTTTCAGGAGGATGGTTTGGGCAGTGGTGCGTGGAGGGACTGGAGGGAAGAGCACATGAGATTAGTAGTGTTACTGAAACTTTATTCTGTTCACACCTTACCCATATGTTGTCTGAAACTTATATTTAGGGCATATAAATGTTTGTTGTACAGGCCTGCCTCAGAAATTTTGTGGGTTTGGTTTTGGTTCCAGGCCATCTCAATAAAGCAAGTTGCAATCTTTTTGCTGGTAAAGGGACCTGCCTTTAATTTAAAA